TTTGTCCGGTAAAGATGCGTCCCGGGGCCAGAAGACGAAGAACTGATGCTTGGTCATTGTTGTGGACAGACACCTGTTCGTTACAAATGTAGCTAACAGAGTGCTGGTGTCGATAAAATATCATTATGTTAAATATCTATGTGGTTCAAAAACATTCATTTTGAAGCAGAAGTTCAAGGTTATCTTAATGAAAATAATAATTCACGTTATTGTTATTTTAACTGTCAACCAAAAACTTCATGGGGGGGATAAATTATTAAATGCTTAAGTAAAATAGACTAGAATTACCTTTGCTTTTATTTGAAATGACGTTAGGGTGCTGGCTAACTTGTGCTGCCTTTTCCAGAATGCGAAGCGAGCCAGCACGGCGGCCGCCCCTCTGGCCGCGTGGGTTAAAGCCAACGTGCAGTACTCCCACGTCCTGGAGCGCATCCGGCCGCTGGAGGCCGAGCAGGCGGGGCTTGAATCGTGAGTGAGAGCCGGTGGAAAGGAGTCCAGCTGTTGCTTATTTGCCACCATTTAATGACTTAATTATTGGGGTTTATGTTTTATGTCTTGTTTATATCTAAAAAGATAGCTGACAACATCAAAACATGGAACGTGAATCAGTTAGATAAAATTAAATGTCAGACCAAAAGAAAAAGCAATTAAAAGAAGGTAGAGAGCAGAACCAACTCATTTTTCCCCTCTACCATTATTATGTTGTTGGGAGGATAATTGGTGCAAGTTCTTTTACAGAGAGCTGACATTCTGTGAACGAATACTGCTATGGTACAAAAAGTAGGTTTTGGAAAGTTAGGGCTTTTCGATTTGTCTTCTCCTTCAAAGTTCGAGGAAATGTGTTGTATATATTTCACAAAACATGGTCTGGGCAGGTAGGGGGACAGTTTCACATTTACTTTGGGGCTCACTGCTTTAACTGGTGGTGTTGCCTAAGTCAGCGTTGGTTCTAGCACAGATCGAGAGGCAAGTTATGTTCTCGACTGATCTACGTGTGACCTCATTTCCTCCTACCCTGGACGAGGAGGTTGTTAGCCACCTGAACTTCTTTTTCTCAGTATACTTATGTGAAGTATAGGTGGGTTATATATATATGCGGGTTATATATATGTGTGGTGTATATTTATGTGTGTGTGTGTGTGTGTGTGTGTGTGTGTGTGTATGGGTTAATTCGTCACATATTTTTGTGTAATGGATAATGTCAGGTGTTAGCCTTATTTAGAGTAAGTATTTTTCACACCTGAGACATAACGTATCTTAGGGGTATGTTTCCTTTTTTTTTTTTTTTTAATCACTTTTTAAAATTTATTTTCAGCATAA